CTCTCTCCCCTCCCTCCCTCCTCCCTTCCGCTCTCTCTCCCCTCCCTCCTTCCTTCCTTCTGCGCTCTCTCCCCTCCCTCCCTCCTCCCTCCCTTCCCTCCTTCCTTCCCTCCCTCCCTGCTTCCTTCCCTTTCTAATGGGGGCTCATTCTACTAGGTAGGGGCCAGGGCCGAAAAAGCCCCGGCCCTCGTTGAGGCAAGCCGGATGGCCCTGGGGCCGGGAACCACCAGGAGGTGCTGATTAATAGATTGTAAGTTCCTGCGGGGCTTATATGAGGAGGGGCGGTCCCAAAGGTATGCTGCCCCCGGCCGTATAGGGCTTTAAAGGTAAGGACCAACGCCTTGAACCAGATCCGGTACACAATAGGCAGCCAGTGCTCTAAGTCCCAGATCCAGCACCACCCCCACCCTCGCTAGACTGGAGTGAAACACAGGAGCTTTGTTGATCCACTCCAGAGTTTTGGTAGAGACCGTTCACTTTTCAGAGCTTTCTTAGCCCGCCTTGCAGTGCCAACACCTCCGGCTTCGCCTGCAATTAAACTTTTCTCCGTTTCTGGTGAAGCACATCTCTCCCCCCCCCCAGCTTTTCTCCACACAAGTCCAGCTGGGAATTGTTTGCTAACTTGCTATCTTCCCAGGGCAAAGTCTGCCGTGCTTGGCCCTGCACGGAAAGCGACCCAAACGCTAGAACAGAGCCATTCCTCCCCGTGCTGACTCTGGGATAAAACTGGCACTCTTCCACCCCATGTTGTTTTATTTATTCCATCAATTCCTGAAGGGGGCAGATACCTCCCGAGGCTCCCTGATTTTATCCACACATCCTCCCCAGGTTGGGACTTGCTCCACACATCCCAGGAAGCTGGGCAGCTAACAAGGGTTTGAGTCGGGGCCGCCATCCCCGAAGCCCAGCAACCCAATTCGTGACCGTGGGTGGAGCACAGCAGGCTGCCGACATGCAGCGGTTTGGATACAGGCGCCTCTTGTGCTCAGAGAGTGTGCCCTGGCAGAGGACAGCCTTTGGAGCTGACCCGTGATAGGCCTCCACCAAGCCATTCGCCACGTGGAGTGGCCCTGCGGGGCAGAGTGTTCTTGTCCATTAAAAGAGGGCAAAGAGGATAGGAAGTGTTCTAAACAGAGGCCACGTCTTGGACCCCGCAGTGCGCCACCAGGAGCATAGACAGACTTGGCATAGCTCCTCTTGTATGGAGCAGGAGGTTGGGCTAGACGACCCCTTCCAACTCGATGAGTCCTATGGGTCTTAGGCAACGTGTCACATTTCCCTCCCCATAGATTATCGTGCCCAGAAATTGGTCTGAATTGGCACAAGCAGTTGCACAAGTCTTTTTCTTGAATTTCCGCTTGCACCAGAGTTCCATCACAAGTGGGGAATTTTTGCACTGGCTCTAAACCATAGCCTTCTGAACAGATGTGTCTACAGGCAGAAACCCATATGCACTGATGCCTCTCAAACAGGAGATCTGGTCAGGTTCTTATTTGTTCCAATCATTCAGGACAACAGCATACCAAAGGAAGTATTCAGGTGCAGCTTTGGGCACAAAAAAGGCACTGTCGAAATGGCACAACAGAGTCAAATTCTTCTTACCTGGTGCTGGCTGGCTGGGGGCAACCTGAGTGGACGGTTTAGGGGTGAGGGAAGCGGTGTGGTTGACTCCATTTTCAGCTGGCGCGGGCTTGGGTTCGTTCTGAGCTTCCGAAGGGGCATCTCCTCCCTGATCAGCCTAAGAAGAAGAAAAGACTGGATTCATACCCCATGGCCCTTCACTACCCGAAGGAGTCTCAGAGCGGCTTGCAGTCCCCTTTCCCTTCCCCTCCCCACAACAGACACCCTGGGAGGTAGGTGGGGCTGAGAGAGCTCTTGACAGAAACTCCTCTTTTTCAGGAACAGTTCTGACAGGACTATGGCTTGCCCAAAGTCATCCAGCCAGGTGCAAGTGGAGGAGTGGGGAATCGAACCCGGTTCTCCCGGATTAGAGTCTGCGCACTTCACCACGACACCAAACTGGACACAAAAACGCCTCCCAACAGGACGCAGCGAAAGTGGCCCGGCAGAGACGGCGGGGTGTGCCCCGGTGGCAAGGGGGCAGCTGGCTGACCGGTGGGCATGTAGGCTCCGTTTCTGGAGAAGCACATCTCCCCCGCCCAATAAGATCATCAATAGTCCTCATCTACCACCACCCCCTTCCCAAATTGCAAGTTCATTACGAAAGACACTTTGTATTTGGACACTTCACATTCTAAGAAGGCAGAGAGGAATTCCAGAATAAATACTTCCCCTTGGCACTAATGAGAATTTCTGGAAATGTCCCCCCCCCAGTTCCTTGTCTCATTTACACGTGGAGGGGGGGGCTTGCACCCACAATGGAAAACAGTCCTTCATAATGGACATCTGGCACTTTAGTAAATCCTGTACTCTGACTGCACAACCCTCCCAGCTCTGAAGAAGAAACACGCCAGGAATCCTCTTGCATCACCCTGCAGGAACACAGATTTGCTTACAAGGTACTTACAAGCCCAGGCCGTGCTTGTCAAGGACAATGTCTACCTCGGCCCATCCCAACCAGACCCTGTCCGTGTGGCACTAAAGCAGAACCATTATTTGGAGAGTGTGCTTTTTTTGGGGGGGGGTGGAGTGTCCTCTGGATTTTGCCTTGAACTTCATACTTTCATGCACACCTCTCTTATCACTACATCCCTCCCTCCCCCCGCCAATAGAAGACAAGGTTTGTGTCATCCAAGAAGTCCGGGTAACACAATTTATGTACCTACAACGCAGTCCTCACTACTGTTTTATATATCCTGAGCATTCACACACCAGTCTAATATCACAGTAGACTACGCAAGCCTCCACGGCACACAACATCACACAGAGAGACTTCTGTACGTTGGTCCCAGGCTAATTTACAGCGTGCCGATGCCTCATTCACCCCGGAGGCAAAGGAATCCCAGGCCCAGGACAGCTCGCACATCCGTACGTCTGACAGGTAAGATTACGCTAAAAAGTACCTCCATTCCGGCCACATGCTGGGATCACCGTGCCCGTGTTGCCCAGTCTGCGTTCGCGTCCCGCACCACCTCTTCTTTCTCGCCAGCTCTCAAAGCCCGTATTTGGCACTCATTTCTATCCGTTCGTTCTTCCTTTTTGGGGGGCCCAAACTAATCGCCTGACAATTGCTGTATTAGTGGGCACCGTTATCTAAGTATGTTGCAGATTCCCACTCCAGGCTCAATGGCACAGGAAGAAAAGCGCAGGGCCTCGGAGCAGCGTGCCCCGGCAGTTCATCTTCTTGAGAGGCCAGCGTTTGGGAAGAAAGGACCTGTTGCCATGGTACCTTGCCGGATTAGTTCCGCATGCAGCTTTCCTCTTCCCTGGCAAGGCACTGATAACGGGGCGGGGCGGATCTCCTCTAAACATTCCCCCCTTTTCTAAGGTTTACCCCCAATTAGGGGGAAATGCCATTTTGATGTGATTAAACCACACCAAAGCCCAGTCCACTGTTTACAGATATGGACGTGAGCGTCTCCTGCACTACTTTGAAAACAAAAGAACGCGATTTGATTCTCTTTCCCCTATAAAAAGCCCCCAGCCAGTGGTGAGTGGAGAGACTCTGAACATTTGCCTTTCTGGGTTTTATTTGCCTGGGGCTTATTATCTTCATCCGAGATGCTGTCTCAGACTAGCTCTAGACTTGATGTGGGAAACCTGCATATGCGATTGTGGTTGGCTTTCAAGAGCAACGGACAGAATAAAGTTTGGTGCCGCCAAGGTCACTGAGGAGACACAGGATCTGTCTCCCCTTCTCCTTCAAGAATACTTATTCTGCCCTTTGCCTCAAACAGCCATTTCTAGAGAGCAGCAGTTGGAGCAGCCCTGCAAGAGAAATCCCCTCGAGGGTGAAGAGACCCGATCCTCTCTCAGTGATCTAGCTGCCGCTCACACAAACCCTCCTCCTCTGAGATGCGGCCGGGGCTGCAGCTGCTGAGGCAGAGTAACGGCATGCAGAGGGATCCCTCACCTGGCACTGAACCACTACTGCATCTGGGCCTGAGCGGCAGAAGGTGCATCGTGCATCCTCGATGCGCTGCACATGAAAGAGAGACTTCCGCAAAACACGCTGGCACACAAGATCAGAAGGCAAACTTGCCCTGAGGTGTGGGTCAGGCTTTCAGGCTCGTTATAACCACAAATGCAGCCTCGCAAATCAATGCCAACATGACAATATCTGTGAAGTGCTTTCAACATTGACAATCGCACCCGAAAAGTAACAGCACAGTCCTGAGCAGAGATACCCAGTTCTGAGTCTGCAGAAGACAACTTTGCTCAGGACTGCGCTGTCAGTGGAACAAACCATCCTGCTCCTCGATAGGTCTTTGTCCTCCACGCCACTGACCTTGGGGCATTTCGTTTTGGTTTGGCAGCCCCAGGCCACATGAAAAGGTGAGGTGAGAAAATGACAAAATCTAGGCGACGAAAGCAGATTGTCCTGGGCCAAGGAAACACGGGGCAACAGTTACCCAGTTTCTGTGAGAATAGCAGTACAACTAGAACAATTTCATTATCAATAGCAGGGTAATCACTGTGAAGGGTTTATCCAGACTTATTCCCATTTATAAACTCATTAAGATGGGTGGCCCTGTTAGTCTGCCTGTAACAGCAGAAAAGACCGAGAGTCCAGGAGCACCTTGAAGACTAACACAATTTGTGGCCGGGGAGGAGCTTTCGTGAGTCACGGCTCACTTCTTCAGATAGACCAAGATGGGCGGCCGTGTTAGTCTGTCTGCAGCAGGAGAAAAGAGCAAGAGTCCAGGAGCACCTGAAAGACTAACACAATCGGTGGCAGGGGAGGAGCTTTGGTGAGTCACTGCTCACTTCTTCAGATAGACTAAGATGGGCAGCCGTTTTAGTCTGCCTGTAGCAGGAGAAAAGAGCAAGAGTCCAGGAGCACCTGAAAGACTAACACAATCGGTGGCAGGGGAGGAGCTTTGGTGAGTCACTGCTCACTTCTTCAGATAGACTAAGATGGGCAGCCGTTTTAGTCTGCCTGTAGCAGGAGAAAAGAGCAAGAGTCCAGGAGCACCTGAAAGACTAACACAATCGGTGGCAGGGGAGGAGCTTTGGTGAGTCACTGCTCACTTCTTCAGATAGACTAAGATGGGCAGCCGTTTTAGTCTGCCTGTAGCAGGAGAAAAGAGCAAGAGTCCAGGAGCACCTGAAAGACTAACACAATCGGTGGCAGGGGAGGAGCTTTGGTGAGTCACTGCTCACTTCTTCAGATAGACTAAGATGGGCAGCCGTTTTAGTCTGCCTGTAGCAGGAGAAAAGAGCAAGAGTCCAGGAGCACCTGAAAGACTAACACAATCGGTGGCAGGGGAGGAGCTTTGGTGAGTCACTGCTCACTTCTTCAGATAGACTAAGATGGGCAGCCGTTTTAGTCTGCCTGTAGCAGGAGAAAAGAGCAAGAGTCCAGGAGCACCTGAAAGACTAACACAATCGGTGGCAGGGGAGGAGCTTTGGTGAGTCACTGCTCACTTCTTCAGATAGACTAAGATGGGCAGCCGTTTTAGTCTGCCTGTAGCAGGAGAAAAGAGCAAGAGTCCAGGAGCACCTGAAAGACTAACACAATCGGTGGCAGGGGAGGAGCTTTGGTGAGTCACTGCTCACTTCTTCAGATAGACTAAGATGGGCAGCCGTTTTAGTCTGCCTGTAGCAGGAGAAAAGAGCAAGAGTCCAGGAGCACCTGAAAGACTAACACAATCGGTGGCAGGGGAGGAGCTTTGGTGAGTCACTGCTCACTTCTTCAGATAGACTAAGATGGGCAGCCGTTTTAGTCTGCCTGTAGCAGGAGAAAAGAGCAAGAGTCCAGGAGCACCTGAAAGACTAACACAATCTGTGGCAGGGGGAGGAGCTTTCGTGAGTCATGGCTCACTTCTTCGGGTACAGCTAAGTATGTGAGTACATCTGTCCTTATATCTTGGAGAGTGAAGTGATTTTAGAACCAAGACAGAAGAATAGAGGGACTCCCAGTCTAGCTGTACCGGAAGAAGTGACTGCCGTGACTCACGAAAGCTCCTCCCCCTGCCACAGATTGTGTTAGTCTTTCAGGTGCTCCTGGACTCTGGCTCTTTTCTCCTGCTATAATTCCATGTTCTATTTGAGCATGACTCCAGTCTGGACTAAAGCCACAAGTTTCTAGTTTTGCTTGCTGAAAAGCTGTCAGAACATGGAGCATCAAGCACGCAAGATCTATTTGGGGTGGGTGGGATCCAGCAATCCTCGGAGGAACCTTCCTGCAGCCTAAAGACTGCAAAGGGGGAGCCGTGTCCACCTGTCATATCATAGCAAAACAACACAAAAGTCCAGTAGCACCCAACCTCAACACATATATTTCAATATGAGCTTTTTTTAAGCCGCAGCCCACTTATTCAGATAGACGAGTGAAGGGAACCCTGGAGGGGGGGGGCATTTAGTGTGAATTGTACCACAAATCTTCCAAGTCTAAATTCCAATGCAAGGGAAAAAGGAAGGAATTGATATAGAAAGGTTGGGTGTAAGTTCCATCGTAAATCAACACAGGCCCCGGTCACATGGAGAGTTTGCCGCGTGAAAGGCACGAATGTTGGGTGGATTTTTGGGGTGCAATCACACCGCAACATCTGGGAAGCGTAGTGCACCCGTGGCCAACCTGTGCCGTCCCGCCGAAGATGCAGAGTTAAAAAGTAC